TCCAGATATTAACGTTAACGTTGCGCCCGAAATGTTCGTCGAAACCCTCCTCGATTGTCTCTCTCGTTAGAAATTGCTCTGTAATATTTTTTCTTTCCTTTTTCTTTTTTTTTTGAATACGTAATTAACATCAAATCGAATAATTGCATTCGTTTCTCAAAATTTCCCTTCTCCTCCGATGAACTCTTTCGAGAATCTCGCACGCACGCACGCACACTCGTTTCCCTCGTGCAAGAGTTCACACCGATTGATCCCATCTCGACGAGTGAATTAGAGAGAGAATCGGAATGTCTCATTTCCCGAAGCGAACCCAATTTCCGCGTCGTTGGGAACAATCTGCTCTAACGGTCGAAAGAGATCGACATTTGCAAATGATTGAATTCAAATTATGGGCATCGCGATAAGCGAAGAGAGGATGGACTTCAGAGGAGGGACCTCCCCCTGTCTCTCACCGCGTAACGAACCGAATTCTTTTCTCGTTTACTCGGTACATCTCGTTACGGCGATGGGATACGACGCGCGATTTCCCGCGATCAAGGATTCCTCGCGTGCTTCCCAACAATAAAGTGTGATTAAATTCGAATTTCAAATGCTACTGAGAGTTTCTGGCGGGAACTCGAACAAGTTGCCACTCTTTCTTCCACTCCTTATCCCTTTCCCTCTTCCCAAACGGGTTCGTCGATTCCTTTCGAACCAATTCCGTTGCCTGTCCAAATATAATTTTGGATTAAACCGTCTTTTCCCTCCTTAATTCAAATCCGTATTATTCGTATCTGGGAAAGAATTCGAAAAAAAGTTGTCCTTTCCTCCTCTTCCGTTACTTTTTTTCTATTTTTTCGTTTTCTCTTCGTTCGAGTAATTTCGTTGCTTGCTGAAAAATAATTTAGATTAAAGATTTATATATATATATAAATTTTCTTGCTAATTGTCAAATGTGTTTAAATTGTTGAGATCCGGTGGAAACTCGAAGAGGTTGTCTCTTTTTTCTTTTCTCTTCTTTCTCTCTTTTCTTTTTGTTCTTCGGAAAATTCGTCGAGTCATCGGTTCCTTTCGAATAATTTCGTTTTCGCTCACGAAAATATAATTTACATTAAATCAATCGATTATGCGTTTATATTTATGTATATATATATATTTTTTCGTGTTGATCGTAAAAATGTGTTTAGAAGTGTGTTAATAATATCTCGAAATATTTTTTACCACCAGATATAAATTTTCTGCCGTTGAAACACATCGAGTGACTAGAATGAAAAGTCCATCATTCACGTCGTGTAGAGTATGATAAATGTTGGCAACACATTTTTATACGACCTGTCAATTAGCAAATATTCAGTATTTATAAACCTTTGTCTATTAGAATGGAAAGAACACTCGTGTCGTTCTAAAAATTAATGGCATTATATAATAAATAAAACGTCAAACGCGTTGAATAAATAAAAATCATTCTTCGTTTTGTTTTATCGATATCGTTTCATAATACCGAGATAATTATTTGTGAAATAATTTTATATTCTATATATTTCGAAAATCCTTAATTTGGATAAAAATTGATTTTAAACGTTAAAGATAGATAAATTTTAAGATATCGAAGAAATATTTTTTGACAAAATTTTACGAGCTATAATGATATTATCAACGATCAAATCATCAATAATCTTATCTATCTTCAATGTTACGCGACGAACGGTTTTCGTTTCATTAAACTTTTAAGCTTCTAACGCGAAATAAGATTAAAATTAAAAGTTATTCACGAATGTCAAAAATAAATTGTAATTATTGCCCTAATCTTTCACTATATTCGCAATGACTGTTTGATTTTTTTAAGATCGAAACATTGGATTAGCGATTAATTGCGTATTATGCTCGAATAAGTACCGAGAAAAGTAATATAAACGACTATGTTTCGATTTTTATCGTGAATTTAATAACCGTAATCGGTGACGAGTGACGTAACGATAAGATTTGGAGAAATTAATCTTCTTACACGTGTATTTCGTTATTCTCGTCAGATTCTACGTTCTTACATTCCGTTCAATGTCGATCAAACTATTATTATATTGGCCACTTCCTAGAAAATACTACAATCACCAATAAACAAATTCAATATCGCCAAGTATAATCTTATCTTTCGTATCGATTACGAATTCATATTTATATCTATAACGTCAACTTCTAATCCCCATTTCAAAAATTTAAAGTATACATCCAATGGGGTATGTATTATTTTCTCTTTTTTCTTTAGAATGAAACGTAAAGAGTTAACTTTTAATTTCCATTCCACGGCGAAAACTCGCGTCATACGCGTTCAACCGTGCGAAAACGGGATGAATATTTCGCCACGCGTCTCGCCGATCGAAAATGCATTAAAGTCTCCTTTTAAAACGTCGAAAAGGTTCCCCTCCCTCTCTCTTTCCGCGTACAAAATCCTGCAACTCCTCATCGTATCCAAGATTCGACGCGCGTTCTAGAATGCGAGGGGCTCATTTCCTTCGAGAAAGATAGAGAGAGAGAAAGATAGAGAGAGAGGTCGGTATCGCCCTTCCTTCTCTTCCTTCTCCTCCTTCTCCTCCTCTTCCAGCGACGCGATCTTATTGCCCTTGCCAAACGCAAGAGAAGTTGCGAAAAAATCGTAAGGGTGAAAGGGGTGATGGAAAAAGGGGTGGCGGCGTGCGTGGCCGTTAAGGAGAAACAGAGGGACGAGGAGTGGCGGCGGAGCGGGTAGTGGCCCGTTGTGTGGAAGCGTTGGCACACACGTTTGTACGGTGGGTTGCTCGACAATAGGCATTGTGCACCCGCCATAACCAGGAACCGAACGCGACAGCACCACGCCGCCATTGTCCGAATGTCAGCCAAAGTTCCTTCTCTCCCTCTCCCGCTCTCTTTCCGTCTCTCTTACTTGCCCCCGTGCCGTACCATGCACCGTGTTACAGGTATCTAAAAATTTAAGGGATGATCGGATCTCGGAAATCGAGAACGAGAAAAGCTTTTTCTTCCCTCCTTTTTTTCTTTTTTTTCTTTTTTTTTTTTTTTTGTCAGAGTAATTAAACGTCCGTTTTGAAAATGGAGAATAAATCTTCCTTAATGGCAACGATCTCGTCTTAATCTTCGATATTCTCCTTTTCTACGAGAGTACATTCGCGTTCCTGCTTCCTACAGCGTCCTTTGAAATTTTCTTCGGACGCTAATCCCTACTATCGAAGCGATTTTTCTTTTTTTCGTTTTAATTATACCGTAAATTTAATCCTTGATCAAGGCAAGGAGATCGGGAATATTGCCGATGAAAATTGATTGTTTATTTTTATATAAGGATAATAATTAAGTTAATAAAAAATGTTCGTAAAGAAAACGATAGAAGTTTAAATATAATTTAAAGGAAAATCCATTAAGATATATCGAATTATTTTTGAAAAGATTTAATCGCGAATCTCTGTTATCTATGATCTCGATAAGTAATTCTAATGATATTTATCATAATGGTGTTATTGATAAAAAAAAAAAAGTCGAACCGAAAAATAGAATAGGATCGCATATAGATAATGAGAAATAATCGATCGATCGAGTATATAAAGCGAATCTAAAATTTGACCAGTTATATCTATTGTGACACAGAACATTTGAACATTTGTATTGTTTGTATTGCTATCACGGATACAAGATGAAAGGTAAGGCTTTTAAAATTTTTTTAAAAATCGAGTTCATTTTTACACTTACTGAAAAAAAAAACGAAGAATTCGAGATAAGAAAGAATATTCGTGTTTTAAATATTATAAAGAAAAAAAAAAAAAATAGAATAAAGAAATTTCGAGATTTTCACATCCGTGATAACACGGATTTATCGTTTCTTTGATTAATTCATTTATTCATACCGGATTAAATCTCATCTATTATTAGATTGTTGCGTATAAATTTAAATTTGTAAACAACAGTGTGAGACGGTACTGTGCCATGTATTTTTACTTTATTTCAACGTAAAAAAAAAAAAAAAAAAAAAAAAAAAAAAAAATAAATAACATAATTCGTTCTGTTTCCAGTCTTCATCATTTTTATCGCGATATTCATGGTTTATGTAAACTCTGATCAAAATCTGAAACCGCAATGCCCGGAAGATTTAAATGAGAACAACACGATGATCGTACACCCGTGCAACTGCAGCACGTTCTTCGTCTGCACCACGGATCCACCAATTCCTATGGATTGCCCCGCTGGTCTTCAATTCGACGAAAAGAAACAAGTTTGCGACTACAAATGGCGCGTGAAATGCAAACCGAGAAAGGAATGTCCTCAGAAAGCAAATTCATTGAACGGATTGTAACTATTTACATATCTAAATCGATATGGAAATCTCCGACATCGATATCGCTTGATCAACGATTAATATTATACAAATACCATACAATCTATACCTCTTTCACGTTTCCATGAATCTGAGGAATCTGAATCGGAATAAAAGAAAAATATTAAAATATTCCAATCTCTATTATAACTGTAACGTGTCAACCGATTAATAACACGAATGCTTATTTTAAATAAATTATTAATGTTTTAATAAAAACCTCGATTTTACTTCATCACCGGATATTCGAACGCGCGGTCCATAATCTATATATATATATATAATTAAACTTAAATTATCTCGATTAACGAAAGATCCATTCTTAATAGAAAAATTAGGCGAGGATCTAAGGGGGAGAAGGGGAGGAAGCATCTAGATTTATAAAAAACGATAATTCACCCGCTATGAGAATTATCAGCCGTGTAATAAATGTACAAGTCTCGGCGAAGACACGCAACAAAGCTCCAATCTCTGCCAAGCCTGAGCTCGCGCTGCTCGCGTCTCTTTCTTTCTCGAGCGCGCGAAAAAAAAAAAAAAGAAAAAGAAAAGGAGAAAAGAAAAAAAAGAAAGAAACGCGAACGCCTTCGTTTGCACGCCATCTGAGCGTTTTATAATCGGTATTCTTCTTCCCCCTTTTACCCCCTTCTTTTCCTTTTCCCTTCCCCCTTTCCCCTTTCGCAGTTGGAAAAAAATGCCTGGCTATTAATTTGATCTCGCCTCCCGCAGCGAGTAGCGGCTTGACGGAACGTATCCCTACCTTCAAGACAGACAGACAGCATAAATTAACTGCCCGATCGTGCCTTTCGAATTTCCTTTGTTACGTTTTTAGCACGGGAGGGAAGAGGCGCGAAATGGAAGGGAGGGAGGAGGGCGAGAAGAAGAGATCCGAGGAGTGGAAAAACGAGGAAGGGAAACGAGTGGGACGCAGGCGCAACAACGTGGAAAGGATTCAAAATGAACCGGGCCGCGTCGCGAGAGCATTTCTCATGTCGTTGAAA